GTGGTGGTGGTGGTGGTGGTGGTTCATCCTGCCTGTTCGTAAGCCATGTCTTCCTGCTCCTCGGAAAACACTGTTCTTTAAGTGCATCTTCTTTGGACCGGTATCATTGACTTCACAAATGTAATCAATGCACTGCTTGTCAGAATAGCATTGTCACGACTGCTTTGAGCTTCGTTGCTCATAATGGTCTTGTTTGCTGTTGCTGCGACGGCTCTGGTGCAGTTCGTAATGCGTTTTGTTGTTGAGTCTCAAAATATTCTACTACTGAGAGCATGATTCCTACAATGACAACTAGTCCTGGTACTTCTATGATAATGCCTACTGACACTGTGGCAACGATGACCATCATGGCTACCTTCTCTGGTGCTACTATGCGCTTGAGACAGATGTGGCCTCCCGCCTTTGCACAGCACAGCCGCAGATGCGCCGACATCACGGCTGCCGACAATGCTGTGGAGGCGTTCGCAACCCGCGAGAAACATGATTCCAGTACTGAGAACGCCTCCGGAAGCTGCAGACCTCTGTCGACAAGTGTCTAAACTAAACCTAAGAACTGTTTGCGCACTGAACCCTAAGCCCTAAACCTGGACGTTAAACCCCAAGCCTGAAGTCCCACCAAGACTACTTTTTCAAGACCCATGGGACTCTTACAACAGCATGGTCCTACCGCAGCAGCCTGGCAGATGCACATGGACGACACGCACGGTCAACCTGACCTGTTTAAACCAAGCACAAGCCACCATCAACATCATCGCCAATCATCTTCATTGACAGTACTGTCAGCATGCTCCCAGACGCTGCAGCCTCGGCGGTACTCAGAGGATTGTCGTTGCAGGAGAGCCAGCCGACCTCCACAAGGCGTCACCGAACCAGTGGCAACAGGGTTCGATTGCGCTTCCTGCACACTTGAGGTCCCTGGAAATTGCCGTTGAGACTTTCGACTTCAAGCATGACCGTGAAAGGCTTTGAATCGGAGCTGCGGCCCAAAGTCACGGATGAAGATGAAGATCCTGCTATTATTTTGTCCGGGGTAGGGGCATGTTCGGGAACAAGGCCTCTACACCCTGTTATTGCTAGTGGTGTGCTTAGCGTGACGCCTCATGTTGGATTCGTGCTACAGTACGACATATGTGCTTTCCATAATCACAGTCTGTCGGCATCTTGGCGCACTAGTCTCCTGGCCAATGAAGCCGGATGTGGTCTTTCGGCAGGAAGATTCGAGAAGGGCTTGGGGTGGGCCACAGCAACCCATGGTCCCAGTCCTCTGCCCAGCCAGAGCTCCCCAGCCCAAGCGGCATCTAAGCAGTCGGCCTGCTTTACACCCTCACTCGGCTGGTTGTTGACATCCTGGACATACCTGTGACACTCTGGCCCAATGGGATGTTTCACGGCAAACTAGTAGGCTCCTCAAGCCTAAGCCCTAACAGCTTCCGCTTTAATTAGTTCTGGAGGGTTTGGCCTCAACTACCTTGGTGCAGGGACACTCGAAACTCTTGAAGACCACGTGCTTGCAGAAGTGCAAGGGCGAAACTTCTCGGCCGAAACACAAAAACCAATACCTGGGTCTAAATGTTTCTGAGAGAGCTTTGAGGTATTTGTATACATTTTGCCGCTGTTGTGACATGCTTTTGCTCTAGGTCTAGGTCTGGGTCTAGGTCTAGGTCTAGGTCGAGGTCTAGGGCCCACTATGTATGATTTTGGCGCAGTTCACTCTTGAAAAGAACCCTCGGCTCGTTTGGACCCTCGGTAAGCTTGCGAGTACCCTTATTCACACTATCCGTAATGCTGCTCGTTTATGCCTTTGATAAAGCCACCGTGTTTGTGGTTGATGCTGTTCGTGAGGTTGTTGTGGTGCTGGTGGTGCTGGTGCTGGTGACTGGTGCCTGGTGCCTGGTGCCTGGTGCCTGGTGCCTGGTGCCTGGTGCCTGGTGCTGGTGCTG